ATTGTGATCAATCGAAACCCACAGCATGGACAGATGCAACATGGGGGACAGAAAACAATAAGAGATCTTTCCAAGGACAGACCATTATTTGGAATGGGGGCGTCGTAACATGGTCCGCTAACCGACAGAAAAGCACAGCGCAGAGCTCAATGGAAGCAGAGATTATATCCGCTAGTGAGGGCGCAAAAGAAATTGCTAGGATGGAGAAAATTGCACATGATATAAATATTAGAGTAATGAATCCCCCATTGCTACATTTAGACAACGAGGCTGCAATAGAGCTCGCCAAAACCGCCAAATTTCACAGAAGAGCTAAACATATCGAAATAAGGCACTTCTACATACGAGATGACATGGTGATGAAGAAGAGACTAACTGTTGTATTTACGCCAGGAACTGAACAGATTGCAGATATTTTAACGAAACAGTTACCAAGAGATCAGTTTACAAAATTGTCCTTCAAATCAGGTTTATCTAATTGGATAATCAACGCCCTATCTTAAGCAGATATTGATACTTGGGGCATTAAGATAGCATGCCATGATGATCGAGGGAAAAGAGTACTCTTGTACCACAATGCAGTTTCATTTTCTGCAGGACTACTGAACTCTTCAAGCAGAGATGTAGGAGTCACACATTCCAGTGTTGTGGGAGCTAACAAGGCTCTACAGTATTGCAGAATGGGGGCGTGTTGGAAAATGCTGCTTAGTCAGCTGGGTGATTTGGTTAAGCCCCCTCACCCTCTGTATCTAGCCCACACACATTTTTCATATATCTTACTGCACTGCTATACATATTCTCCACATACCTTATCTTACCCTCTATCTATTCTCGCCACTGTGACTCCACTCTCTCAATAATCATAACACTAAGGATGTATACATAAGATCACGTGCTATTCTAGGTGTAAGGATTCCTCTTCCAATCCTTCCTTCAGTATATAATTTTACCATTCTTTCTATGTTGCTATGACAACAGTACATTCCGTGACACAAGGGGGGGTCTGGAACAGAGATTGTTTTTTGTACCACCTGATGACCTGATAAATCTCGGTTAGATTGGATATCTTCTCTATCTTTTGACGCCAGTACTCTTGTTTTGCTTTCCTAACAGTCTTGCCAAAGCCCGACGTTCCTTTGTGGTGTTTGTACCGAGACATCTGGTGCGGCAAAAATTTTGATGAGCTTCATTGCATTTGGCATTCCACCATGGGGTACTCCTTGACTTTTACCGTGATCTAGGGCAGGCTGCTTATAGAGCACCAGATAATGCATCAACAAAGAAAGATACTTCCTCACTTAGGTTTGCTGAGGGCAGGGTTATGAGCTGGTCAGCAAGGTTTTGACGGAAAGCTTCCCAGTTGCAGGCAGCGTATTGAAGCGGACTGATGGCGGGAGTATCAGGGCCGTCATCTGGAATGTGCGTTACAAGAATTCTATGGTCTGCGCCAGCATCTAGATCTTGGCGGATTTTGCAAGAGGGATGAGACCTGGCTTGCACAAAGCAGAGATCCAGTACTCCTCCTGCGTCATGTGTTGGGATTCCATATGGGTTTAGAAGAGACAGGACTTTATTGAAAGACCAGACCAGTAGGGAGTCTCCATGGGCCAAATGGTGTATATTAAAATCCCCTGCACGGAGATTAGGGCTTTCGGTTATTGTGAAGAGAACTCTTAGGCCTTCCCCTGCATCAAAGGAGCCCGCTGGGGCGTTGTATATATTCCAACGATCAACCATACGCCTCCCTCGACGGTCAATGCAGACACAAATTAGATCGCGCGAATAAGCTTTTGGCTGAAAGGGAGAGAGACCGCGACCTTTCCGAACATACATCATAACTCGAGGCCGGGCTATCCATTCGGAGATAGGAGAAAAAGTTTGGAATCCCGGGTGGGTTTTTGTGATTTTACGGGAGAAGTCCTAGAATATCCAAGGCTCTTGGATAAGGATCATATCGGCTCCTGATTGGGAAGCGAGAGCAAGTGCAAAGTCGTGTGCTGGGCCAGATTTGCCGACATTGACCTGAAATATGCAGAGGCCAGAGACCGTCTACTTTTTAATTCCTCTGCCGCGGACCATCAAAGTTGTATTTCGGTGGTGGGAGTTGAAAGCTGCGCCGGAACTTCCTGTGTTTAGGTGATTATGCTCCCGCAACACTCCATTCCGAGGTCGGGAGTTGGTACAGCGCTTTGATTTTCAGGCACTTGAGGTATTTGAGGGGGATTTTTGGCCTGCCAAGCTTTTTGGCCTTGTGTAAGGATTCTCCTTCCCATTGTGACGGCTTGTAAGCCGATAATTACCTGTAGCCTACGCTGTCCAACGTTGGCTTAGCATGACACTAGGCGGAGCCTATTCTCGGAAGTAGGGGCTTACAAGTGGCAATATCAATATTGTATAGCTTCCGAGAATGAGGCGCAAGAGTGGGATACGAGAATGGATGTGCAGATATACGGGTAAACAGATAGAAAGCCGTGTCATTGGCTGGGATAATAATCATGTATAGAGTAGCTGTTATTATCCTCTTCGATCTATAGTTCACCATAGATTGAAAATAAACTACCTCTGACCATAAGGTTGCCCAAGTGCCTATGCTTAGACTGTGACACCCATCCTAACTTTAGTTTATAATTTTAACCTTCTCCTGATGTTGCTATGACAACAGAACAGTTCTTGGCACTGGTTATTATGTTGGTACTAGTTTAGGGCCTATGTTATGATGAGCTAGTGGAAGGAGGGCAGGTATATATATGATGGCATGGTCTGTAGAGATGGAGTCCGCGACGCTTAGTTCTCTGTCACAACCAACATCATCGGATTACCTCAGATTACCTCTGGTCACCTCCAGTCACCTTTTGTACCTTTAGTTACCATTAGTACCCACTCGAACCTCTAGACATTTTAGCAATTTATAAAACCCACCTTTCAAATCTTTAGCTCCTTCTAGTAACCTCCAGTAGACCTTCAGCCATCTCTAGCGATCCATCCGACCTCTTCTCGCCCTTCTATTCCGCTTCAGGACAAGCGCCTACGCTCCAATTTGACACTAGGCTACTCATTACAATACCGGAGAACACCACCAGGAGACGGAACACAACACCTTCCATCGTTGGCTTGTGTTTATAGTGTTAGCTGCACTCTCGCAAGCGAATTCTTGGCGCGCACAAAGCACAATTTGTAAAACTATTTCCAAAATTCGGAATTTCACGCCCTTCGAGGTAATATCCTTCCTTTGCATCATCTTGTGAACTTGTCCTGATCCCTCTGACGTCCATCCCCAAGAGCTATCTCCCAGATTTGTGCGCCACGCTTTGCTTCCTCCGTCGGGTATAAATATCGGCGAAGGCGTGGGCGTGTATTTGGTGGTCAACTGAGACCAGAGAAGGTCGAGGAGTGGTGTGATCATTGGAATGAGGATCTACTAGGTTGTACTTGTAGACTTGATGAGACTTAGGTAGAAGTCAAACTCGTTGGGTGCGAAAAAACGACGTGGAGGAGTATTTTGGATCATTGCCTCGGGGGCCAACTTCTTTGATATTGCGAAATTTGACTGAACTTGGCTTTGGGAGAACATTTCACTCCCAGTTTCATAGAGGACACGGCGTACAGATGTTCAGTCTTGCCCTTCCTGGTCTGTGACAGTCGTAGTGAAGAGATAGTGTCAGAATATTTCCTATGGATCCTTTGTTTGAGGTAACTCAATAACAATAGTTTAATTCATTTGTATCTATCTTCACTTGAGACGGGGCGCCAGGGCCTTGATGACCTTAAACACTCGGCACATGATATATTCTTACATAGCTATTACTAATAATTACCCAATTGTCCTTACATGATCATAATAATTATTACCGCCCAGAGTCCGGCTTCCTTGCTTCAGGCCTATCAAATAAAGGTTGTGTCCTACTATTCGACTGACAGATGATTCAAAAACCACAACCACGACACTACGCTACGCTACGTATTGAGAGTATCAATTACCCGGATCTACCAACACTTATCAGTCTTAGCATGTCCATTCGAGAACCCTTCCCTCTTCCATCCCACGTCCCAACTGCCTGTCCTCCCTCAGGCTGTATAGCCCCATTAGAGAAACAGTCGTCCACGAACCAGGACCAGAGCTTTGTCTACTATGACATGATTTCCAACTTACAGGTATATGTAGTGTCCTTATTTTGTAGTGAGGGATAGCTGGTAAGCTGTGGATCAAGCTCCTGTTTGCAATTGGAGTAACTCTTTGAGCGGTCCCTAAGTCGGAGTACTCGGAACCAAATGTTTGGACTGACAATGATGAGAGGTCGTGGATTTTAGATATGGCCATTTTAGGATTTGGATGCCATTCTCCTTTGTCATCTTCAATATGCAGAGCACACTGAGCAGTTACACGTACACGACTGGAAGCTGAAAAATACATCTCAACCAGCTGAGAGCCAAGGTTCTTGCTGAGCTGCAGGATTGTGTTGTTAATCTTTAGGAAGGCTCCCTCTTCCATTTACGAGCATTCCTCCCCACAGCTCGATCATTTTCAGTCACTCTGTGATGTAGATCACCAAATAAATGCCGGAGGCTCTCCGGGCTAAGCTTACACTTGTACTGACATCCATCTATCTTGGAAGGATGAAGCCTCTAAGATGCATGTTGCCAATGGAGAGCCGATGTTTGTAATTTACTCTGACTCATTCATACTTCCATGGCAATCTTAACTGCAATCAACAAGTCTCCAATCCTACCGGCTCCTGTTAAAAGTAATTATTACAAACTTGATCATTTTGAAAATAATCAGTCAACCATAAAAGTGACTTGTCCCGCAATCACGTCTCTATCTGATATCAGCTTCCTCGGCCTTTCACACTTCCTGGGGCCACTCCAGGTTACAATTGCCACTACCACTATCCCGTTCTTATCAAACTGGTCATTGGTAATAGTAGAAGCATTGTGTCAATCAGTATAGATAATAATATTTCTAGACATCAAAAACAAATACTAAAGAGATCGGCTTCAACATGAAGACTTTTGCTCCGAAACTCGCTATTGTGCTATTTAGCCTTGTAGTCCCAGCACTGGCAGGTGGCTGGACATGTGCCGGCAGAAACTTTGAAGGTGACGAGGTGAGGGCGCAAGCTGAGCATTGGGCTAGGGAGGGCATCGATAAAGTCTCCGATTTTGTAAACGATGAAGGGGGACAATTATACTATTTCGAAGTTGGCCGAGAAACTCAACTTACTGAATGTAGGTGCACATCAATGGTTTCAGACTCCCACAATACTGATTTACTGTGTGTCAAAAAGCATGCACAGGGTGCCGCGCTTACACGAATAAGTCCGGAAAGATATACAATCTTAGGTTTTTGGATTACGACGACGGTCAATGGAAATTGTGCACCCCTTATTAAGAAGACCGTGAAAGCAGTAACCGTTAGACTTTTGAAATATATAATACTGTGGAAGCAAGGCTGACTGTTTACCATAAATGCAATAGTGTCCGTGACGGAAACCGAGTTGGTGATGAATAAATTGATTTAATAAACTATGAGGAGAAAAGAGATCTCTGGCTGCTACTATCAGGTATTTATTAGAGTTGATCCTCGTCGTGAATCTATAGGCTAGTGACTTGTTCTTAGGCACAATACTTCTTACCCAGCCACATATTTCCAGGTGTCACTAAGCTGTAATAACGCTTCAGCCTCCTGACTAGTAGTGCTGTTTCGTTCAGCTTCGTCTCCCCCCCACACAGCCACATAGTAAGAATTCTCGATAATAGGCTTAGGTATCCGCCTAAGCTCAAACTATGGTCAAAATATGTGTTACGGCGTGCCATGCGTTAGATCAAGATCGCCGTTCACCGAGGGTATGGAAAGGTCAAGTGGTGAACACTAGAGAAATGCTTGTCGACGAAGTACTAAAGCTAGAAGGAAGCGGGATTACTAGAGGAATACTCTAATAATATTATAAGATTGTGAGGCTGGAGAACTACTTGGTTGTAGCTCCAGCTTCCTTAAATACAAATAACTATCTAACACAATTTAGCTAGGACTGTGGTTATTTCTCATCACAACTCAAACTGTAACCTCTACCATATCGATTCCTGTTGGCTCATTATCTGGTCTCATCATACAAGTGCAAGTGTTGAGAGTGAGCCGAAAAACTTGTTCCGTGAACTTTCTCTTCAGACCCTCTGCTTAGACTCTGGTTCAAGAATATCTCGCCATGATAGATTGCTCAAACCCCTTCGAGAACAAGGCTGGCGACGATCCCTATGTCGGCTTATTCAGACACTTCTTGGCAACGAAAAGTCCAGGTGAAATTCCGTGGTGGAATCAGAGAAGAGAGGATACTAGAATACGGAGTACCTCAGGGCTAGCTACTTTCGCCACTTCTTTTCATGCTTTACATCGCTGTGCTTTTTGAGGCTCATGGTCTAACGAGCAGGTTTGGTTATGCTGATAACGTTGCTGTTGTCAGAATTGGAAACACCGCGGCGGATGCTATCTCCGCAGCTCAAGACGACCTCGAGAGCTTATTTCTTCTCGCTAGAGAACATAGGATCAAGTTTGACCCAGCAAAGTCCGAACTTCTAGTGACCGGAGGAGGACCTAGAAGGAAAATCAACACAGCTGGCCTTTCCATCATGGTGAGAGATCGTCGAATCGAACCATCACCGTACATCTGATGGCTAGGAGTCTGGCTTAATACCCAGCTGAACTTCAAGCAGCATGTACAGGAATGGACTGGAAAAGCTAATCGTCTGGTCCACTTCTTACGACATTCGAACAGTGTTCAACGCGATGCAGCTCCCACACCTCTCATTTGTGCAGCACAGGCATGCGTTCTGAGTACAGCTCTATACGGGACAGAAGCGTGGTGGCCGGATCTCACTCAAATAACCTCACTTCGAGATAAAGAAGTCGGCACTGTAGTAGGCTGGCATCTATCTCTACTGGACAAAACGATAATGAAAGCTATCCGAGTAGCACCCCCAGCGTAGCGTACCAGTCCCAGTAGCGCTCTTTATCGTGAAGCGGGAATACCCCTGGCAACGATAATTTTTCAGCAAAAGACGCTGCGGTCCGCAGCTCGTAGGCGAAGAATGGATTTCTAGCACCCTCTAGCTCTTTGGGTGGCTGAGGACCCGAAAGAGAAAATAAGACGCTTAGGTCTTAGATCTGGACAAAGAAATCGCTAGTTCAGACAACCAGAACGGTATATGACACGCCTACAAATAAGTGTGCGTCGAGTTCCGACAGCCGAAGGCCCTGGAAAGCTATATTTCCCACGTGGCACTCCAGCATCGACTCCATGTAGTCGAGAAAAAGAAGCTAGGTCTAGAAGCATAAAGCGATGGTTAGCTTCCTATCCAGCTAACACGGTCTGCGCTTTCTCTGATGGATCCTTATCGGGTCCCGGAAAATAATCCTGGGGTTATGTAGTATACCAAGGAGGCAAGCTAGTTGGAAGTGGTTCCGGACCACTTCCCGGAGCAGAGGTATTTGACGCAGAAGTTGTAGGCTGCAATAGAGGTCGGGGAAGACTTACCGATTTGCATACTACTGGACAACCGAGCGGCCACCCAGGCGCTCGATAGAGGAAGATCTAACTCCTCGCAGGCAGTGGTGGACAAGTTTTCGTCGCTGAGACATAATAAGCGTGTGGAAATACGCTGGATACCTGGTCACATGGGGATCCGAGACACTGAAGAGGCCGATAAGCTGGCCAAATCATCCTTGAGAGCTCTCAATAACCAGTCACTAACTTCAGCTACGCCCAATAAAGAAGATCAAGATCTAACCTTTGCGGCATTAAGGAGGTGGTTAAACATCGCAGCCAAGAGCTCGTGGAAGAGTGGTGGCAGATGTACCGACCGAAACGATACAAAGATCTGGACATATTCATGCGTTGCAAAAGACCACTGAAGCTAGCTTCACTAAGATGGGTGTACCATTGTCTTATTGCGGCAAGAGCAGGCCACGAGGACTACGCCGACCACCATCGAAGTTTCAACCCCGAACATAAAGACCTGAAATGCGTTTGCGGCCGAGAGAAAAGGCCTTGGCATTTTTCAGAGTGCCGACCTGCTTTGTTACGTTGTAGAAGCTATGAGAAAGTGGCCCGCCTGGAGCCAAGGAGATGATTGGAGAGAAGGGATGGCAGAAATTTTTTCAATTCCTAACTAGAAGCAGATGTTACAGTCTGCCGAAGAAAGAAAATAAGTACAGTAAATGTCTGAGTTGCGGTGCCCTGCGCCGCATTTCTATCTTCCTGACGCAGGGCACTGTAACTCAGGCATTTACAGTTCTTTGTTTCATTTCTTTTGTCGCTTCTGGCTTTATTGCCGGTCATGTAGGTAGCAATGAGCTGTCAGAGCCCACCTACCCGTGTCACGTCTAAATAGATGTCGGGTTCTTCCTGTCACGTAAAAGATATCAAACTCAAATCTATGACTAGAAAGGACTTGGTGAAAAGAAAATAAGTCTACCAGTACAATAACAATATTAAGAAACCCAAACATCCACGTATCAGTTATCTCATATATCGTGACCCATAAACCCCTACCTTATCTTTATCAATCAACAACAAGGCTTCAACAGATTCTTCTCAACATCTGTCAGTGCTGTCCCCTATGAACCTCTAGCTCTCACTGTAGAGTCTGCAGAGCTGGGATTGAGTAGCCTTCGTCCTCATTTCCATGAACATTCCCAATCGTCTTCATCTTTCATCACGACTTCCTAGCACCATTTTTATAAAACTTTCAAGGATCAGATTAGATGGTAGGGTCAAAGTCCTTCTCATTACCAACGCTTGATCATGGAGGAAAAACTATCCGATGAGTTTCCGGAGTGTACCCAGCACCCGATACAGAGATGGTGGATTGAATCAAGTTGGCCTCGAATGTGACAAAGAATGGAGATATAGATGAATATGCTTAGCTCTTGTGGTCCCGGTGTCCAGGCCTTGCTTGGCTGGGGCTGCAAATTTTTTGAGACTTTTCTCGTACAGGCAGTTTCCATTAGTACCTTTTTTGGGTAGAAAGTTACGTGGAAAAGCTGTCTGAATTCCACGGGTAAATACTGGGCTGAATGCTCATGCATCACGGACAAGAAACCAAAGATCTTTCAAATGACAAACGAGGGAAGGAGACTGTACAAGATATGGCCCAGGTCAGAGAAGAGTCCAATTTACTTGATATTCATAGGCTCAGGTGGCACTAGGAACACCAAACCAAGCCGAATGGTGGATGTTGTGTTAGTACGACCTGGCGAGCGGAATATACGCGATTGATAGTCAGGGACGGTGGAGAAATCTGCTACGACGCGGGCGTAATTTAATAGGAAAGTATATGGCTCGAGAGAAAGGGTCTTGAACTGAGCCTTAAGCGCGCGATAGCGAGGGCAGATTGATGTAAGGGAGAACTTTCTCTACCCTTTCGTAACGTATGAGTTTGCATGAATGGTTTCTTTTGTTAGATCTAGGCTGCTGAACTCTTCGTAATTAATGAACAATCATTATCTCATCGCCGGCTAACATTATTTGTCAATTTGATCAAGGCGGCGAATACAAACAAAAAGTTGAATTTTGACCTGGTAGAGTCTTCTGCGATAGATTTATTGGCATACTTTTTACTGTTAAATGGAGGTGAAGATTATTTTTAATAGGTTTAATTTCTCTAATTTTGAAAAAGTAGATACAAATCCAATATTTCCTCCGTTAGCAGTTAACCTTCCTGTAGAGGACCTGAAGAACCATTATACTGCCAGCCATAAGAAGTGCTGCCGAAGAGAACAAAATAAATCTTTGGGTCGTGTTTAGTAATTCAAACAACGGGTAAGGATAACTAAAAGGGATTCTTAGAATCTAAATCGTATTATAAATCACATTTGAGGCTTACAATTTATTATGTGAGTGACAGTGTTCAACCCAGTTCCAATATAAAAAGGAAATTGTGAAACTTAGCCCAAGTGCTTGGGGAAGTCTAACCCTCCATGGTGGGGAAAGATAGAAGAAGTCGATTCCTAGCAGTAGAGCTGGCATGGCATGAAACCCAATATCCGCAATTGGTGCTAAGTAAAGCCCTGGAGGAATGATGAGGCTTCTATCTATAGAGCAGATACCCCAGTAGAGAATAGTGATGAGAATTTCGAGAGGCGTGAAGCATTGAGCTAATTTGTTCTTAATGTAAAATAAAAATTCATAATGTGTCATATTGGCAAGGACTCCGGCTACAAAAGTAGCCATCGATCCAGTGAGACCGATTATGGTCAAGAATTGAAAATGCCATCCGTAGGATTCGTTGATGTAAGATGGGTTATCATGTAAATATTTGTATGATAGTGAAAACGATAGGATACCTAAGAGTTGCAAGATGTTTGAAATCCTGCGCTTGGGAACGTTGGAGTGACTGCGTCGAGACAGAGCACCTTTTTTTTTGAAAGCCATCGTTGGGCAGATGAATTTCACGCGCGTGATAGGATTAGTTTGGGTTGCATGGGATGGTGAGGTGGACTTAATTGTTTGTTAGTTGAGAGATTACGTAAAATGAAACATATCGCACTCCTACTGGATGTTAAGTACAGTTAGGGCCGGTCCGGATCGGGGTAAATACCGTAAAGGTACAAATATGCCTCGTCCCACCCAATTGACCTGAACCATGCCAATCCCCCTCTACGTGTTGAATCATGACATGTCTAGCGGCTCAGATCATCAGGAAGGCGTACAGAACTGTGTTCCCTTTTGTTGTAAAGTTCAGAGAAGCGAAAACTCTAATGTCAGTCTAATCTTATGTAACTTCGGTATGCACCGTAGATTTGCGTTTTCCTGGCTTGCAGATGTTAAACGAATGCAGCCTCCGACAACTAGTCCCTCGGGCTCTTCTCTGATCGGGTGATTGGGTGCCGCAGCTACTGGAGCAGATAGCTCTATTCTCCTCTTCCATTAGGTGTAGCTAGCGCATTTATGCTGTGGCCCGTGCTGGGTAAACGTAAGATACCACGCAACGAACCGGAGTGAACATTGTACTACAGCCACGGAGAAACTCGAAGCATGAACCACCACCGAAAGGACGGGAGATGCTGGCAGAAAAGGGTTGGGAAAGATTTCTCCAGCTCTTAATAGCAATTAACTGTTACAAGAGGCAGAGCCCATACCGGGAGGAATTTATTCTGCCGAAGTAGATTTTTTTTCAGGACAAAGAGTTGTGAGAAAGGAGGATAAGCCCAGAGCGCTTACTTTTCTTGGAGTTAATTCATAATTTATATTTTGCATACAGATTTGACAAGCAAACTATGTGTTTAGGATGTAGTGTGTCCCCAGGGAGCATAGATCCGTATCACGCCCATGGAGTGCACGGCGTAAGCCTGATACGACATGAATTCAAATCAAACCAAAGGAAACAACTAGCAGACCAGAATAAAACAAAATGAATCTTTCAAGCGAACCCTCGCACTTCAAACGAAACAGCCGAGTAGGAGAGCAAAGACAGAACACCTGTCCGCGGTGCTCTATGAAACTGGAAGTGAAATATTCCGTCTTAGTCAAATTCAATTATATTCTGCTGCACCAAAGAATCTGGCCCACGAGGCCATGATTCAAATTACCACACCACGTCAACTTTTCATTCCAAAAGAGTTCGAATCTTGCCTAAGCCTCATCAAGTCTACAAGTACGAACAAGTATATCCTCATTCCAATGATCACATCTCTTGTCGGATTTATCTGGCCTCAGCCGGTCACTAATTACATGCCCACGCCTATATCTATACCCACAGGAGGAAGCAAAGCAGGGCGCACAAATATGGGAGGCAGCTCTTTGAGATTGACGTGAGAAGGATCAGGACAAGTTCACTAGATGATGCGAAGGATGGATGCAGTCTCGACGGGCGTGGAATTTTGAACTTTGGCTAGGAGTTTTTACAAATTGAGCTTTGTGCGTGCCAAGTCTTCAGTTGCGAGAGTGCAGGCGACACTAAAAAGACCGCATTGGTTGGATGGTGCGGTGGTACATCGTCTTGGCCGGTCTGCCAAGTAGAGTCTGGATAGCTGAGACTTATATCCCACTCAAGACAGTAGATCGCTGGTTCAAATCCAGCAAAACACAACCACGTTTCTCGCGGCGCTGGTATGCATGGATGAGGAAGGCATGCTTGGATAATCAAAGGGTTTGAAACGTTCCTACGGTGGGTACTCATGGAGGAGGGTCGACTGCTTGTGTAAACAAGCATACCTCATAGTGGTATTTGCGAATGAAATCTAGAGCATGAGTGTCTCTAACGTCAAAAGAGTCATCCAACATGTATACATTGCACCGGTCATGTGTCATAGCTAGATATCTGAATACACATTAATTGATTTAAAAAAAAAGAAACAGCCAGCCTGCCCGTCGAAATCTTCTTGAGGCACACATGCTCCAATATTTAGGTCCCTGAAAGGACCTACCTGTCCAGAAGACAATCTATTCCGCCTATGTTAAAATCAAGCTGCCCAAGTAATGGAGAGGAAGTATTGGAGTTATGAACAGGAGGTAAGATCTTGCTCGCTGGACGGAAATAGTCCGGAAACTCCAAGCAAAAAGGTCAGACAGAGGTGGGGAAGGTGGCGGAGCGCAAAGAGTGGGCAAAATCCTGAGCCAAATAGAAACGAAATCAGAAGCTTCAACAACTGCCAACTGCAGATGCCGAACCTTGGAAAGCGGCCAGATTTTACAAGGGGAGGAAATCTAGATGGCAAAAACCGAGCCTTGAAGACTCTCCATTTTTTCGACATCGTAACCTGACTAGGCCACAAAGATCTCAAGCACATGATTGCGTCCTGTCCCTGATGGTCAAATGATGGAGCAGAGACCTGGAGAATGATTCGAAACCGGTCATAGGAAGCCACGATAAACAACCCAGGAGACACAACAAGGATTACACAGCGGATTCCAGATAATATTTGGACAGGACAATCTCAAAGGACAAATGCAGTCGAAATGCCGCGGAGGGAAAGTAGGAGGTCAGCAAATTCTTGGGGTCAATAGAGAGAACGTGGTTGGCTTGCATGGAATTCTCCATAATGTAAGTTGGCTTCCTGATTGATTAATTGAAGTCTCTACTGAGTCCTAGACTATGAAAGGCTACTTAAAGATCTACCTAAATGGCTCTTTAATTTATAGGTTAATTTGTTAGAGAAACAGATCATGTCCTAGTAGATAGAACGTGGAACCTCCAGTATCGGATTACACGGCTTGCTGAGTTACGAGCCGTGCACTGTCTGGACAATAGACGCGTCAGTTGTTGTTCACCGAGTAATGTAAGCGAAGAGCCGTAGAGACGATCGGTCAAGTGGTGGAGTGGTCATTCTTTGATGACAGAGTACTTCTCAGTTATACGAGGGAATAAGACACGTTAAGAATAGAACATATAAGTGGAACCCAGTTTGGTGGATAGGGACTTCCCCAAGATCCAACTTATATCACTACTGTGGGATATCAACTCAATCCTGATTCATCTACGCCCTACATTTGCTGTGCAGTGTCTCTTATCAAGTTATGCAAGTGATCAGAGTACGTATATTTTAATACAATTTTTTATTTGAATATTACAATTATATGCCACTTGATCTTCAGGCTCATGCCCTAATCTGCGCTTCCCGAAGAACAGAGCGAAAACTAAAGACAGCAAACAAAAAGGTATGGGCGCTTTTCACCACAAGGGCTTTCCTCCCGTGTAAAGATCACAGTTCAGACACCTGAATGGGCCCAGACTGCACGCTGTCAGGATAGAAAAATCGAATTGTGTGAATATTGGCGTTGTTAGAGTGGCTATGCGGGAAATTTCCGGATATTAGTCACATGGTGTGAGTGCGGCGTTGGGGCTCTCTACCGTTCATTGCTCATGAGAGGTGGATATAGGTATACGTTTTGTTTGTTTGCATTTAACGTCAAGTAGGCCCGCAGGTATGATCCGTATCACGGGCAGGTCTTGTTGGAACGGAGTCACAAGCAGATCGGAGGTACGAGAGGACGAAGTACGGATAGGAATATATTAATAAGACTTTACACAATCTATCCTAGAGTGCAACTACTTAGATACTTATACTTCATTCCTGCGCTAGCATCAATCATACAAATAAGTAAGATAATTGTGCGTCATGTGGCTTATAGGTCAGGTCATAAGCGAGAACCATAGGTACCATGACAATCCGGCTTCTATTCCCAAGAATGGGCGTTTGGCGTGTCCGCATAGCCTATTGCCATCGGACAATTCTATCGTCTAATGACTACAATGTCCTCTCTTTTTTCGCAATTAATGCTCAGTATTAGTGCAAAGTAGAGCCCTGGCCCACTCTATTTGTGTCGATTCCCAAACGCCTAACTCCTTGCCACTCTCCCCCCCTTCTTTTTTTTAAAAAGATACTATGATTAAATTACAAATTTGTGCAGTTCTTACAAGGCAATCCTATCAATGTCACCACTAATCTTGCCTCTACACTGTGACACCTTCTTGTTATTTGTATGGATGAGCTGTGTTGCACCATTTCCCGAATTCTTTCGCCCCTGTTGTTGTGCCGAGGATCCACATGATGTCCCCCTCCTTACCGCGAGATGGACGTGGTCTCGGAGTTTTACTTTGGTCAAGTTTCCTGCATACAAAGGGATATTCCGAAGCCTTTTCTTCTCCACAGATACACAATAGCTTGGCGTCTTGGTGCTGGAAGCGTCTGTGATACGTGGCGTAGTCTCCGTGAGCGGAGCGGGCAGCAAGGAGTAATGCGAGATTTTGCCGAAATAAAGTCTGTAATTCCTCAGGCATTTGTCCTGTCATAGGTATCTTCAGACTCCTATATCTACTCGGAGCGTGGTCCTTCCAAAATCGGATGATGCTACTCTCGTGCCGCTCCTTTATGAGGCTATTGGCTCTGTATATTGAAGCATTTGTCCGTGTAGTTGTTTCGCTGCAGGCCTCCTTAGCTAAGACGTCTGCACGCTTATTTCCTTTAATCCCTGCGTGACCCGGAACCCATTGTACTTTCACCGCACCCTCTACCTCTCTCGAAGATTGCACTCTACTTTTCCAATTTTCCCTCAGTGCCTGAAATTCTGCAATCTTGAACGAGGTGGAAAGGCTTAGGTAGCCAGTGTGTAATTGAAGTGCCGCTTCTTCATTATCCAGACATACCACAATATTTGTAGCGTATTTGGCCAAACACTGTGCGATGGCTGCTTTTAGCCCCTCGACTGCCCCAATAACTTCTGCAGTCCGACCGAGAGGAATCTTCGCACTTGTAATTTCTGAGATTGAAGCCCAGTGATGCAATATGCACTCCCTGCCTCTCCTTCCTTGTTCATTGTCCCATCTGAATATATGAAAAGATCTTGCAAATTGTGCCTCTGGCTTTGCTCCCAATTTCGATATTCCATCAGACCTTTTTCCAGGCCGATAGCTCTAATCTCTTCCTTTGCTTTACTCCTATCAAGACTCAGCCAAGGAGGGGTAATAGTGTCCAGTGACAATTCAAATTTTTGACGGCTCCTAACCCATCGGGAGCGTTTTGTATTCCAACGGCTTCGTAAGGGGTGCTTAGGGTCAGCCGAGGCAACTCTAATCACAAAGCGATCGTGTATTCTTTCTAACCAGGTAGTTGCTAGATAGGTATACGTTTTGATCAATAACCATTTTACCCAACCTTTGTGCTAGCACATGACCTGGAACCGGTGATAAACCGACACAAATCAAACCAGAGCCAATTATACTTGGATATGCATCCACTCCTAAAACTGTATGGAAAGGTTGCCTGCTTCTTTATATAAAACTGTTATTACCGACGCCGATCAAAACAGTTTGTATTGCTGAGCAACGGCATCCAAGCTGCGAAAATGGTAATTTTCATGCGATGAACATGAAGTTTTACTTGTTAATGTACATGGATTCATATGGTGAGATAACGCGTAACTAATCACGCAATGAATACCGTGAATGTATTACACCCCCCCTAAATCTAGCTAGTCCCCAAATCCCGCCCCTGAAGTACTGTAAGATTATAGCCAGATATGGTCTGAGCACGTTGAAATGTCTGTAAAGTGATGTATGGAATACGGTTTGTTGGACACTTACGTCGTGTGTAGAATTATATCAATTTTTCGGCTTCTTCAACGAGATCTTCTACTCGAAATTCTCCATCACCCCTCCCGAACATCTCGACTAAGCGCTTTCTCTTGGCGGCCACTTCTGAGTCTCCGAGGCCCCCATAAAATCGTTGGAGGCAAAGCAGCAGCCATTTTGCCTCGTCGACACTAACCCCTCTTCCACTGACAATTTCGCCTCGTAAAAGTACGACGCCTTTTTCCTCGGACATTTCAAGGTGATGTGTGATTGTGGTGTGCGGTTGACTGAATTCGCCCTTCAGTTTGTACTCACAAAGCTGAGTAAATATGACGGTAGAGATATTTTCTTCGGGAAACGTCCATTGCATGAAATGTATCTCTGCACCCTTTCCCTCGCGCGGTACGGGTAATATAAATTGTGGATTTTTCTTGGCCGTATTTTGTATCGTGTTGTAGAGACTGAGCGGAATTACACCACAAAGGGATTGTGCGTTGTGAGCATGGCGTAATCTCCAAATCGACTCGAGTTCTTTCAGTGGGAGCAAGCGGGCTTTCTCGATGTTGATATAAGATGATAGAGTCCTGATGCCTGTTTTCGAAGAGCACGAGCTGCTCCCAAGCACTTTCGATGCAGCTGATGGTGAGGATTCCAGGGGCAAATTGGAGTCAATCGAGTCTAGGCTGGGTGAAGACTTTGGTTCTGAAAGGATTCCGGCTGTGGCTTTGTTTCTCAGCGCGTTTATTTTTTCCTTGTATGCTTCACGTAACTCTTTTAAATTTTCGATGCCTTCTCTGGTAGGATTTATTAGCCTTCAGACTGCTGGAAGCGCGTAGGGGTATGATTGATTATACAATTGGGCTTTCCTTGCGAGTTTTTCCTTGTACCTGTCGAGAAAGCTGTCCCCTTGCGTGGCCAGAAATCGGAAGCGCGTATCATGAACTTGAGCCCATCGTCTTTGAACATTTTCGAGACAGTTGAGGACGCTAGGCGTCCCGCAGCGTGGCTTGAGAAAAGCTAGACCGGCCATGTCTACAAAATCAAAAAAATTGCTAATAACTTTAATGTTCTGTTGGTTTTCATTCTTCTGGGGTTGTAGCCTACGCTGCGCTCCCTAAATTATCTCATCGCGGACAAGTCAGTCTGTAAAGTATTGAATTTTTAAATCTCGAGAATCTAGACAGGAGACATGATGGCTCAGTGGTATATCGTCAATTTCCACAAGCTAAGTCAGAGTGGCTCAACTATTCATTCTCCTGTTAGTGCAAGATGGCAAACTCGTCTTGTGCGCTCTCTATCTAGACTTTCTGGGCTATGTTGTCTGAAAAAATTGACCTCTTTCGGCTTTCTGTTATCTGAAAATCGAAGTCTCATGGATATACTTCTGTTTCCCGTCCTTCAACAATTTATATGTCTACGTGTTTCAAAAAGATGGTCATACTATGACGGGCTGGGACTTTCAGCCAATGCACGAAAGCAATACCACAAGTCAATGTTTACATTTACTTTGGAGAATTTCGTTGCGGGAAGCTACGGCGCATTAGAGCTGGTATGACTGCACCAGACCCCCTAGACCTCTACGCATGATATAATAATACATCTGTACACTAAGTAGACCTACAGGCACCGATGCCTCGGTTTTGAGCTCTCGATTTCGGAATTTCAGCCCTCTCAAATGGGGGTTGAGCGCAATGCAGGGGAGAATTTGGGAAGAACGATATGTGATTTTCAACAGGCTGTTGGCACAGATGGTCGGGTGCTGTATGTGCTTTCTAGAAGTGGTAGGATGGATTCCTACACGGCCTGTTTAAGTGGGGACTACGGCTGCTCGTCGTGAAAGTGTACAGGAGGAATTATTGAGGTTTTCCCACTAAGGTTTTCCCTCAATACATGGTCTTAGGATCACGGTGAATGCGTTCCTACCTATTCGACCCGATGTAACTAGCGTGAGGCACGTATTTGGAAAAGTCAGGCACTGGATGGGCTATTTTTTTTTTGCATCAGATTTAAATTGCGTATGCAGCTACCTAGCTATGACACAATATCAAAGAAAAGTACAGAAAAGATGACTCAATTTACAAGAGGAGCACTCATGCCTCAGATTTCATTTGCAAGTACCACTGCGAAGTTATGGTGGCTTTTTCTTCACCCCAAGTCAACCCTCATCCGTGAATACCCAGCAAGGGGAACGTCTCAAAAACCCTGAGTTATCCAGACATGCCTCCATCATCCTTCAACTTTTCTCCGCGCGATATGTAATCTGAGGTATCTCCTTCCCAAGTGGAGTAGGTGCCCAGGCTACTCAAACTATACCAGAGAACACCACCAGGAGGCGGACCACAATACCTTCCATCGTTAGCTTGTGTTTATAGTGCCAGCTGCACTCTCGCAAGCGAATTATTGGCGCGCACAAAGCACAATTCGTAAAACTATTGCCAAAATTCGGAATTTCACGCCCTTCGAGGTAATATCCTTCCTTTGCATCATCTTGTGAACTTGTCCTGATCCCTCTGACGTCCATCCCCAAGAGCTATCTCCTAGATTTGTGCGCCACGCTTTGCTTCCTCCAGCGGATGTAAATATCGGCGTGGGCGTGTATTTGGCGGTCAACTGAGGCCAGAGAAGGCCGAGGAGTGGTGTGATCATTGGAATGAGGATGTACTAGGTCGTACTTGTAGACTTGATGAAGCTTAGTTGAGAATCGGACTCTTTGGGAGTGAAAGATTGACATGGTGGAGTAGTTTGAATATTTGCCTCGTGGGCCAACTTCTTTAATGTTGCGAAATTTGACTGAACATGGCTCTGGGAGAACATTTCACTCCCAGGTTCGTAGAGGACACCGCGCACATGTGTTCAGTCTTGCCCTCCCCGGATGGGCTTTGCTGGAGACTGGAGGAACTTGTATTCTAGATGTCCTCCATGCGTGTCACGTCCATTGGGTGGAGGGTGTAAGCCTGGCACGATAAATAAAATCATCATCATCAATTGATATTATCTACAAATACACATCAATTTCAAAAAGGATTGCTCTGTATTACAAAAGTATATGTCGAAGCCCTCAGTATAGCTCGCAACTAAAACGAAAGCGTACTTCATGATTTGTATAATTCTGCTCCATCCCAAGACCTTGTGAACCCTCCATTTTCCATTATTACCGCTACACATCTTTCGTGTATGTTATCCACACTTAACGGAAGCTTCTTCCGAGCAATGCATCTGCTGTAACCAATTTTATTGAGGGCAATAGAAATTAAACCCTCACTGCATCCCCAGTGGCTGAAAGGTCCCATTGCTAGTTCCAAATAGCACATCTGTCGTTTTTCAGAAGATTCCCGGACGAAAGCCTCAAGCTCATCAACTTGTTCCGCGCTTAATTTAGATAAGCATCTTTTGCGTGGCTTAGGATTCTCTGTCTCTCGACCACACGTAAGTTGCACTTGTCGTCTTGTGAAGCTAAGTTCGTCGGATATATGTTGTAATGTCAAGTCAAATCTTCTTTATGTTCTTATTTCAATACATTGATCGCGAGTTAGATGCTGGCGAACTTTAGTTTTTGAAGAAGACTTTTCGAGAGACATTGTTTGCTAGAATAGAGGATGAATTGATAGTGGTGTTGAGATTCAAGGACTGTGTAGGTTAGTCAGCCAAAAATGTCGTTAATAATGTTTTCCTTAGCCGATTGTTAGAAGTAGACAATTGGACCATATTTAATGGCGAGCGGGATATGGAGGAGAGACATACTAACCTATTACGAGCTGGCTCATCTGCGTCTACAGGGCTAGACCCCCAAAAATCTCAATGTCGGAGTTAGTTTTTGATATCCCAGAAGCACTGTAAACCAAAACTAAAACAGCCGAATGTGTGTATGACCTGCACAGGGGTCGAACCTGTAATCTTTTGATTCGAAGTCAAACGCCTTGCCATTGGGCCAGCAGGCCGTACTAATAGCGAGAGATTGACCAACATAAATCAAAATATGATCTGCAAGCAACATATTGGTCCTATCAGGAAATAGGCCAATAATACCCACGCAAGTCGTATATTCCCTCCCATGCCTCCTTCACGTCTTCTTTTTAGCATTCTAACCCTTAAAAGTTATTTTGAGTACAAACTAAAAGGAGCCGTCATCACTTCATTACCTCTCTCCGCCGAACGAATTGATGGCCATCCGCGGGTGTGTAGCTGCAGGGCAACTCTCAAAAACCACTGGGTGCGGGGCTCTTCCAAAACAGCCATGCGGACTAAACCCGAAGACACATCTACCCCTCTGAAGCGTCCAAAAAGACTGGTCGCATAGCGCCTTGTTCGTCCCAGGCTGTCTTGAAGCGTCGAAGTCGTGCAGCTTATTATATAAGCTGTAGCGGTATTCGCAATTGGACTTTGGAGCGTGAGTTTTCCGAGTGGCAACGGCATTATTTGTTGTGCCCAGAAAAACTACGGAAAACTACATATCTTTAGGTCGTACTAAAGAGAATTTATCAACAGCCTGCACACACACATTGCCTCGGTGAGGCCTTGCTAGATAGATGCACCAGAACTAGAATCCTAAGTTCAGGCTTCATTTATCCTTGATGTTTGGATTATACTACATCTTCAATATAATTACCAGGGCATGAACCTCAACATCTATTGGAAAAAGTCGGATTACCAGATTGTAACCTGAGAAACGCATCTAGCGTTTAGTTTGTAGATACAGGAAGTCCGTCATAGACATAGACTCCGATGGGACTATGTCAAAATTCTCATCTCGTCTTCTTTAGTGTGGAGGGACAGTGTTTCATTTACAGGCGTCGTGTGGTGAGATAGTCACGGGCGGTGAGGCCTTGGCGCTTTTTAGAGCTCGGGATGTGGCTCTTTTTTTTTTTTTTTTTTTTTTTTTTAATTCATAGTGTATTCAGCTATCTAGCTATGACACATTTCAAATATTCCAAATTTAAACTTTCCCCCCAAATTCATCTATTCTCCCTCAAAGCCCAATAAACTGTATCCCAATCACTTATCCTAATTTAATTCCCTTTGTGTGCTGCCATGCACTTGGATATATCCAAATACTTAAGTAATGCTTCCTTCCCCATTTTTGTACAAAATAAGATTGGAAGTGTTGTTGGTTCTAAACCTTTGAAGCAAATATTCCTTTGGTCTCTGAATTTTTGACAGTGTAACAATAAGTGTTGCACATTTTGTCTTTCTTTCCCACAAAAATTGCACATAAAATCTGTTACCTTCCCTACCATGTGCAGGTATACCCTGGTATTGCCAATTCCAAGCCTTGCCTGGAAAAATCCGGATTCAGTTTCCCTGCTATGTCCTCCAAATCCATGTAGTTTATAAGAAAAGTTAGGCTGATTAGATTGAGCCTGAAGCCTGTAATACTTTCCGAGTCCCTTGGCCTTTCGACCCTCCTCTTCATGCCAGAGCTCCAAGTCCCAATCTTTTTTCCATGCCTCGAGCACCCACTCTTTAGCCTTCTGCTTGATGAAAGAGTGAGAGGTATATTGATCACTTTTCATTGCCTGTTTCTTCCAACCTCCTTTGGCAAGCTTATCAGCCAGCTCATTTCCTTCTATGCCAACATGTGCTGGACACCATTGAAGATGAACTGTGCAACTTTGACAAATCTTCCTGATCTGATGAGAAATTTGATTGCTGCAATTCTGGATTCGAAGAATACTAGCTTGGCTATCAGTAAAAATGTGTATGGTCTTATTAGCAAAGTATTTCTTCACATATTTGGCTGCCTTAAGGATACAGTAGGTTTCAGCATCTGTGATACCCATAGTATCACCTAGGTTGTATGAAAAACATTTTATCTCTCTGGTGATTGGTTGGTAGATCACAAAGCCAATGCTGCTTCCACCTCCCTGTGAAAGTGATGCATCAGTATAAACTATGACATCACTTTTATTGATGTCCTTTATTTGTTGGATGTGGGATAGTTTAGCTGTTGCCTTTGGATGATTTAAAATGGTGGTTTTAACATTGGACTGATACCATGGTGGGACCCAGAGGGCATTTAGCTGCTCCAGATTCTTAAGGGTAGCCAATGGCTTTAGCCTGCTTCCGATCCTCATCAACTGGGTCAATGGATTATTGATGTAGTTAATTAATCCGAGATCAATCTGACTGCTGCTGGCCAATTCATCTTCAAGAGGACTAAATAAATGTTCCTGGATAGGGTGGTTCCTTTGAAGTCGAAGCATCCTTAGTCCATAGTAGATCACTTGCTTCTCATGCCGTACTTTTGCTGGTAAGATTGATGACTCGACTTCCAAGGCTTTTATTGGACTACCTCGGAAAGCCCCAGTGATCAATGGCAGTGCCTGATTCTGAAGCTTCTGACATCTGTTGGTTAGTATTCCACTGCCCCTCTTGCCATGCCAGAGAACTGAGCCATAATCAAGTACCGAAGTGACACAGGCTAGGTAGAGTTGTCGAAGGGCAGTAGGGATGTGGCTCGAAGCGCCGTTCATGGCACAAAGTAGCGTATCAAGCCTTCTACGTCTGCTGGGAGATTTTCAGGGTGCCCGTTTCTAGCTTCTGGAGAGAATGGCTAGATTTCGACAACAAACACTCCACCTAGCGGCTTGAAGTAGGACGACCATCCCCTCCAACGCGACAAAGACTGGGCCCTAACAGAGAGACACTAACATTGTTACTTTTACTCGAGTAATTGCTTGTCGATCGAGGAGTCAAAAGTCAGAGGAAAAGTGAAAGAAACGATGCAAAGTAGATTCTCGGTAAGAAACTGAGTCGTATTATTGCGATGGGTCGAATGGTGTTGTTGCTTTAAAACATCTTGTCTACATTTTTGGGCCTCTCGTCCTCATGGGCCTGTATGTAAGTGCCCAACAGGATGATAAAAAAGGAATACAACTACGCAGGATAGCGTGCATGAATAATTTTCGCATGGGGAATGCCACTGTGGAAGGAGATACGTCGAGAATGACAAAAGTAGCATAGTGAGCATGATAGTGGAGGACAAAATATTTGAAAATTTCCCTCAAAGTCGGACCTGCTAGTTTTCTCCAACGTAAAGAATTCACCCAATTTCCTACGAAAACCATGCTTATATCATTGACTCACCTAGTCCCACATTTAAAACTCATAATTTAACAAGGTTTTGCCGCAACCATGTTTTCACAGATACTCATCATTCATGCATATCCCTTGGCTTGGAGGTGTGTTACTACAAATCACTCAACATGTTGGATTATCTAAGACGTAAAAGTAGATGTGTCATCATGTGGGGATCACATGATGACCTCAGCGCAGTAGACAGGACAATTAAGAACATTTTAGACCAACACAGAATCGTACAACTCTTTACTGAATCATTACGATCGATCGTGAAACCACACCGTAGTCTATCCAACAAAACATGTATTAAAATGATACTTTACCACAACTTGTGATGTCAGATTCCTCTCATGTTGCATAACGAGCTTTCAGAGTAAGCCTTGGATCAGAAGCAGTAGCCTATAATCTAAAAAAACTTTCTTACAAACCTATATCCATAGGCAAATACAGATAGAGTTGATGTTTGATCTATTTGAAGCCAAGTTTAATGGGGGATTAATATTGTGATTTATTGCTTATCGAAAACTTAAATTACAGTAGCCTCAGATTTTTCAATGTTTTTCTGGCTTCGTTAAGATTTCAGTTCTTGTCAGAATTACATTGATAAATCTATTTTAACTAGTAAAGGTTGTAGGGTAGCGCCGTCCATAGACCTCTACACTTCCTAATTTTACAGTATGTCATATGACAAATCAGTATCAGTTCTAAATATCAATTTCCGCCAGCCATACTTATGACACATGATTTCAAACATCAAAAATCGAATTCCATACCTAGGTTATCCGACGCTGTGGATAATTCTTTTACCTTTAGATGAAGCGTCATTATAAAGCTCTACCTTGTGACAATTTATCATAGCTCATTATCGTGAAAAACTTTTACAAAATTGTGGATATTTTTTGTAGTACGGATAATACACCAGTTACGCCTTGTGTCAAAGTATAATTCGCTTCCGTAGTGCGACTTCCGAGACTGACAGTCGTTACATTTCTCACCTTTTTTAAGCGGCCAAGTTCATTCGCCCAACGAAAAATGACCTCATCATCCCGGTTATTACCGACAACCATGAGAAAATCAATAGTTTTCGAGTCTTGGTCTGCAAAATTATTACCAAGGTGCCCAAATATAGTTACAGCTGCGGTGCTTTTGGACCATTCAATGGGCTCTACTACTACAGTTCCTAGCTTAGGTTAGTATTGACTTCCAGTGAATGATTGATATTACCCTCGACTAGGACAGCTCTGACGCGTTGACCCTCACAAGCATCGTTAATATGACTAGCACAATCACCAGCTAAACGGCCCGCACTTTCCTGGTCCTCGCAGCTTCGATAATGGAAGACAAGACTACAGTGTCTGGTTTCAATCCATGATCCAGGTGTACGTTCGTGGTAGTACCGCATAATACCCTTGACAGACTCTTTCCACTCTCTCATCTCCGCGGGATCCGCATTCTCAATCCATTTCGAAGTATTAGATAATTTAATATAGCATCCATTTTCGGCAACTAGGCCAAGATTCGGAACACGTTTGAAAAGTCGGTCAAGTTCTTCGGGCTGACGAGCAGACATTACGTAAACAATATTTCGAACGTCAAGAGATATATCGTTAAGAATGTCAATTGTTCGCTGGGGGCTCGTGAGGATTATATCATTTGGCGAGCCCCATGAAGCAAGTGTTCCCTCATAATCTAAGATGAAAAGTCGTCTCGATGCACTTCGGTAGTCCTGTCCGAGTTTATCAATAGATAAACGAGAAATCGAAGTAGTGCAGCGCAGATTTTGTTCGTCGTATACTTCGTCCAGCCTAGTTAGAAAAGATGAAAACCAATATTCTGCGGTATGGTGTATTACTGCCTTATAAAGGTTGTTCCATCTAAGCTTTCTTTCATCTTCGCTCATCTCCAGTGCAGTTTTTATGGCATCTGCACACTGTCGATAGTCCCATGGATTAACGGATAACTCATTGCGACCAAAGACAGAAGCACTCCCAGTAAATTCACTCAGAATAAGGCATCCATTCTTGTTTTGGCCCTCGAATTTGCCATCCTGGCAGAACAAAAACTCATGGCATGTCAGATTCATACCTTCGCGTTGACTTGTAATCATCAATGCATCAGCTATAGTGAGCAGTGCTATATATTGTGCGTAGCTGATATCCTGTTTCAGGTAAACTAGTGGTTGATAAGCAAGATTGGCCCATGAAGAGTTAACCCGAGTTACTATATCGGATACAGTAGCATCTAACTCGGCTTGTTCAGTAGTTGAAGTTGCTACTTGTATCATCACAACGTTATTTCTCCACTCTGGATATTTGTTGAGGAAAAGTTCGTAAGCCAAAAGCTTAGGTCGAACGCCACGAACATGATCTAGCTTATCGCGGGCCACTATTAATTTCTTGCCTTGATAACGCTTTTGCATAGTCTTTATCCATTTTGATACATCTGGATCTGCGCGGTTCGCATCTAAGGCTATCGGATCAATACCGATAGCAAGACTAATAACATCCACGAAACGATCTTCAAGCTGAACTCCCTCTTTGGTCGCTTCAACGCACAATAAACGACTACAAGTCTGGAGAAAGTGACGCGCATATTCATATATTTGAAATCCAATCAGATTCGCTCCAAGCATTCCTTCTAGTAACTCCGTTCGTACGGCTAGACATCTGAAAACCTCGGATGAGGGAAAGGCAACATGTAAGAAGAACCCAATTTTCGCATCTGGAAGTTTTTGGCGAATCATTCGAGGAACAAGAAGGAGGTGGTAGTCATGGATCCAAATAACATCGCCTTTCTTCCAGTTTTCTATAATTTTATCTGCGAACGTTTGATTGACCCTGACATAGTAGACCCACGAATGGTCTTCGTATGCTTTACTCTTGGGGTTGTCAGGGATCTGATAGTGAAGAACAGGCCAAAGAATTTGTTTGGAATAATGGGTATAGTGGCCGTTGAAGTCGCTATCTTTACAAAACACCGTCAAGGAATCGTACTCAACGGCCAATCTACGCTCAATTTCTTCTTTCTGCTGCGTACCTTCGAGAACGTCGGTTGGCATTCCTAACGTTCCAACCCACATTTTATCTTCTAGTTTCCCATCCCGAACTGCTGCCTGAACTGCGTTCCGCAAACCACCGTTCCCTTGGTCTGCGGGCACCACAACCCAGCCAGCACTTGCGAAAAGTTTATCTTGATTTTCATGTCTACCCAAGTGAGGATGACGATTACCAGGTCTTCCAAAACTCTTAGCCTTGCGCAACGTTCGATTATGTCTTAGGATATTTGCGGGAGGAGGTGAACTAGCCCGAGATTTTGGTTGATTAAAAACAGTTCCAGCACCCCACGCTCGTGAGTTTGGATTGTTAGGTGCTAGTTTTGCACTAGATGATACTTGACCCCGCAGTTCTGGGTTATCACTGCGTGCAAAGAACTTATCATCATCATGGTTTTTCACGACAGTTGGAGTCTGGGGAGGAGTTGGATCGCGGACTGACGGGAAACTTGGCAAAGAGAGGTTTTGGTTGTTGCCGCCAATCGATCTTCTTTGAGTAGTGTACGGATCATCTTCAGTAACTTGAGAAGGGATGGCAAAGTGAATTGTATCCGGAAGAAATCTATTCGAGAAATTATTAGCGATATAATGCAGAAGCCTAAGTTATGGTATGTGAAAAGGCCGTAGCTGTTTGGATTGTGAATTTGAACGCACGAAAGCGATAGTAGAAGCTGTAGAAAATCATTGCTTACAGTGAGCCCACGAACACTGTCATGTTTAAACGACCCACAGGATGCGTGACAACAAAGGTAAAGCTTGCTGTCAAGGATGAGGTAAGAAGAGTAGATGCTTGACGAAGTATGTAAAGCGTAGGCAAACAAAGATGGTGGGGTTATTGAGGCTAATAAGGGTCAAGTCACGCCGAGTCAAGTTGTTTGCAGTTGGAGCTTCCGATACTTGTCGAAGAATTCTAGTTGAGATTGATGACTAGAAACTAGAAAAATGCTTTCTCTTTGTAATTAAATTTGCTGGGCATGTAATAACCACGGAATAATCGCCGGCGACTGCAGAGTGAGGGAAAGAATTGAAGAGGGGGAATGGCGCTGAGGGAAGTGAAGGGAATTGGAAGGAAGGAAAGTGAGATGCGGGGGAACTTGATCAAGAAAGGTCCGAAGCAGTTGAAAGACATGTGCTACTTCTTATTCTAGCCATCGATCACTAATGGTGATAGTTCGGTGACGATGTGGTTTGACAGGATATGTGTATTCAACACGAACTCGTGGTTTCGCTCCCTAGCTTTCAGTATAAGAATGCCCCACATATTACCGGCATCTGTAGTCATGTGTTGGACTTTAGCCGCGACGTAAATAACACATTGCTTGACGAGAGCCCGAAAACCTCCGCGAGGCAAAATACACGACTGATCAGTCCGTTTCTTTCCGTCATTAACGCTTTGGTGTTCGCAAACCTATTTTCCTGGAGAATTCTATTTTCAGTGACCATATCCAACAAAATTCTAATTGATATGAGTCGAATGCGTCGGCTGCAAAGAACCACATGGCATTATAAGACTGTGAGGCAAGCGCGGCTCACCATATGACAAATAAAGATGGTTTAAATATAGTCAGAGCAGTGTGGGAAAACACATAAGCACATGAACAGTTCATGTCATACCCTATTAACAAAACAGATGCTCACATCCAGAACACAGTGGCTGAATCAAATGGCGAGATTCGGTTTACGGGCTTTCGGACTGTTGTATTACGTTGTCAAAACTCGACAGTGCCACCCACTGGGGTGATGTCAGCACTGTAGACGCATACTCGGCTTGTGCTCAGGTATTTATAATGAGCTAGATGATCCTCCGTCGTAGGAACGAATACTGTCCTCGGACTTGTGGTTGCTTGCAGATGCGATCGCCAAGGGATAGGTCGGTGGTACGTCAAGGCTCACCAGAGTTTTAATGCTCAGAATATCCATATTATCAACTAAATGAGATGCAAGAATTATGCCATATTTATGAACAAATCCCACGTGAACATTCGCGGAAGCTCTCCATTTATACACATGCAAAGGCGAGGTATGGACTGATTCTGGCGGTAGACTTTGTGTAAAGTCATCACACCTTGATTTCCTCGAGTGCTAGCATCTGGGTGATTCAGCGGACCATTTGCAGAACCGTGTTATCCGTGTCATAAAAATGACATACAGGGCCTATTTCAGCCCCTTGATGTAGTTAGCGTTCCCTCACGTCGTAAAATCAGTGATCCCGGTCGTGTAAATACTGTCTAATATTTGAACACATCAAGCACAATCCTTCTTCTAACTTGACATGACACGGGTAGTTGATCCCGGATGACACATTAAATTCAAGATGACCAATTCAAAATGAAGCAGGAAAAAACAAGTAAACACAATTTCTTAAGCCGCTGCCCTGCGCCTCGCCCTAATCCCTTGATGTCATCCACCAATAGATCAAATTCGACGTCAACGCCTTGACTTGCGCCATCCATTGCCGTGATGATTCAAGACAACTTCTCACTCCTCAATACACCATGGAAACCGTGGAGCTCCCTGTTTAAAAGTATCGCTAACATTGTCCTGCGCCCTGTTCTTGGCGCCCACAAACACTCGAAGGACGACAGTTTATGATGCTTTTCCTCGGTATTGGTAAACGTAGTATCGTGATTTTGTATCGAGTTTTACCCGATGATTTGCGAGACAGGCTCCCGTTAGAAATTAGAGCTACTATATGATAGTTGGTCGAGGTGAAGTTGTTTCTAGGAAGACTCAGTTGGAGTACTCGCGTGAGAAGATGAGTCAGAAATTGATATGAATTCATAGAAAATTTACATGCTTATCTGTCTTTTCCACTTTGATTTGGCTTTACTTCATCTTGGCTATCTCGAATGTGCAGGGAATGCTGAGTAATTGCATCTGCAGCGCTGAGAGGTCCGGAATTCATGTCTGCCTGTCGAGCAAACATTGTAGCTTTGAGTACGAGGAGTCCACATTAGTCATCAGTGTCCTCTACAAACCTCGGAGTAAAGCTTTTCCGGAACCCAGCTCAGCCAAATTTTGCAATGCCCAAGTATTTGATCCACAAGGTGATGATCCGAGTTTCCCAACTTCATCATTTCCAATTACCAACGAGATTGATTTGCACTAAATTCCTGTCAAATATTCTAAACGACTCAGCTCATCGGCTCATTCCCTGGCCTGCAAATACACGTCTCTGACAATATGAATACCCAGAGGGAGAGACGAATCGTCGTGCACAAGCCTAGGAGGCATACCTTTAGCATGGACACAAGAGAGAACAGGGCAATAGTTCAGAGTAATGCAAGGGTGGACACAACCTCGAAGTATTTGTGCGCACATAGCCCTGCATTGTGAGATCTCTGGCTAGACGATTAAGAGCACCTCGGTTTGATGGAATAGTGGTGCATCATCCAAGCGCATCTACTAAGTAGATACTGGATAGTTTGGACACCTATCTCACTCGAAATAGTGAATTGCTGGTTCAAACTCGGTGATACTAAAACATATTTCGTGCGGTGCTCGTATGTCTGGATGATGAAGTTATGCTTGGATAATTAGAGAATTTTAAACTTCCCTCTGGTAGGTACTCACGGAGGAGGGTTGATTATTTTGTGCTAGCAAGCATACCTTGCAGTGATATTTGCGGATGAAATCCAGAGTGTTAGTGTCTCAGAAGTCAAAAGAGTCATCCGCAATGTGCACAAAGTACTGGATGCATATTGTGGCTAGATTGTTGCAAGCACGATAAATTAATAATTTAAATAAATGTGATCTGCTTTCTTGCCTTCGGAAGTGTACAGTCATGCTGATACACATCAAAAGACAATAGACCACGCACTGGCCCTTCAACCACTCAGCTCCAAATAAACATAATTGCCGTCGAAAGGGACTGTAAAGACAGATTCTTCACATCCCAGTGGCACCAGCGTAGATGATAAACGTGTTCTGTATACCTGGGATAGCCAAGAGGAATCGCATTCAAATCATATTTAAGTTTGACTTAAAAATTATACCTACAGCTAGCGACTTCTTATCATTTGAATTTTGAATTTGATTTCAATTAACCCGACCGGGCACCCTATGGGTCCATGCAGGTGACTATCTGCATTATTTACAAAGGAGGAAAGCAATTTGGTGAAAACGCCCTGATCCTGTCTTTTTATGTTCCTATCAATTTTTTTGGTTTACCTTCAGGAAGTGCAGTGTACACTGTTCAGCCCGTGTGGATTCCGTCCTCTCCCCTTCCAGATCTATTTACTTTATCCGACATTGCTACCTCGACTTCTCCTGCAAGTCGAAACTGTTTTATCCACTCCTTGTTTAGTATCCACTGTGCAATTCTAGCCAGGTCTTCTGGCCTGTTCATCATTTCTTCTAATGACCTGTCTTAAACTTGTCGGAGAAAGTCGCCTCTTTAATTTGCCCACTGCGGACACGCCAACACCATGTGCTTGACGTTTTGCGACGGATATCCACACTGACAGCTTGGCTTTTCTACTCCGGGTACTTTTCTTCTGCTCAGGTAAGAATTGAGTCCGATATGCTCGCTTCTTAGCTGAATGGCGACACTGCTTTGGGCCCTGGTTAGGTTACGGTGAATTCTTAAGGGTGTATCTTTGAAGTTCAATTTGGCGCTGCCTGTTTGTTTATCAGTAAATATGTTTGCCGCTTTCCAATGCTCTGGATCGGCTGATGCTGGTCGGCCAGGGCGCTGTTTCCTGATCTGGATTGTCCATGATGTTAAGATTATGAGCACATACGGGTTGAATCTCTACCTTGGAAGGATGCTGTATGTGTTCGTAGAACTCCAACGTAGATATAGAAAAGACTTGTGTTCACTGAGGAACGCTTGTATTCAGATGACTTTTGCTTGCTCCTACTGCTAGGAGATACATCTCATAATATACATGTCCTGGATAGCCATATCACAGTTCCTACACTATCCAGTACATTCCATTCCAATCTACTCTACACTATGCGATCCCTCATCATTCCATTCCATACTATTCGATCCCATACCATTCCATTACAAATCTATGATGCCCTAATTATGGGTTGCCCTCAAGTCCATGTCCCTGGACTTGTATGAAATATTGGCATGCATAAATCTGCACAGATCTGGGATCTCTTGGCAGATTATAACACATGACTCCTTCCACTCCTAAAAAGCCGCTATCTTTCCAGCTCCTTTCGGCCTCCCCTTGTCCATTTCCCTTCCGCAAGTTTTTGTCCATTCGGCGATATCTTTACTCTTGGTCAATGCATGCGGAGTTTCTCTCCCGTTTGCGGGCAGCTTTATCCTATTACATGTCGATCGGATTGTTTGTTGCACTGGGAGTTTATTTGATAGTCCGGCGTGCTGGACCCTCCTTTGTTTCAGGTATATCTCTATAGGGAGGACGGACGATTCGTGCTCTAGCACTCTGCTGCTAGTAGAATTGTATGCACCTGCAACAAGCTTTAAGCATTTTCTTTGAATACCTCTGAGGAGTTTCACTATCCTTTCAGGTATCTTTCCTGTTGGCCCGGCCTCAGCCCATATCGAGGACCCATACGTAAGGGCCGGTCTCACTATCTGTTTATTAACTAGGCTGTATAGGAGCAGGACAATGGATACTCTCGGGGAAGTTATGCTCACAACAGGTCTCTATAGTCGCTGTCGCGTGTGTTCTCGTGATATGTAAGACTTGACTCTATATTCTCGTATAAAAGATGCTTAGTTATAATGAATGGATGGAGGTTGAGACCTCCTTATATATTGCTTCAGACTTACTGTGTTGTTCACAGCCTAGTGCTAGAACATTCCCTTATGATATCATTTCTCTCCTACGAGAAATGACCAGCTCGTTCTCCCTCAGTCTATCAGTCTCTCGCTGATTCCATTATCTCTATTCCATCGAGTTCTAGTTTGGTCCAGTATACCCACACATGCATTACACACTAAACGCCCCGCGGTTTGGTTCCACAGTCACGTGAATCTACTATGACGCGACCTAAAGCATGTACCATGGTAAGTTATATGGATAACACAACACGATCGAGCTGTATAGCAGCTTGGACTTCACGAATGTCGCTCCCCAAGTTGATTGTGTCAGTCTACTTATTGGTTGCACTTGAATGCACGATTTTTGCTGGATATTTTTTATATGGGCCCCCCCAGTGGAGTTTGGGGTCGAAGAAGACTCCGAGAACTCGAAGAGAGGACTGCGGTGGTGTTAGGTGTCCTTGTATACTCACGGTGGCTTTTAGGTTGTGTCTATTCCTAGATCGTGTAAAATGCATCAATTGATACTTCTCCGGTGCAAATTTTACTCCGTGTTTCTCTGCCCACTCCTCGCATATGCTGTGATTTTCCTCTAATATTCGGCAGTTTTCTTCAGTAGAGCTCGACCACGTCAGTTTATCAGTGTCATCTATAAATCCTACCACTGAGCTAGAGGGAGTTTGAAGCAGTGGTAAGAGGGTGCTGACAAAAACCAGGAATAGAATCGGAGACAGAGCTGATCCCCGAGGTATACCTGTGTTAGTAGAGATTTGGTCCCCTTTGTATGACCCAAGGACTATAGAAGTCGTTCTATCATCTAGAAAGGATTTTATAAAGTTTATAATTCATCTTGGGATGCCCTTTTCCTTCAGGTTATGGATAAGTCTTTCATGAGAGACATTATCAAATGCTCCTGAGATATCGAGACTAAGGAATGATGCGACTTGCTTTTTGTCTTTACCCCATATAGTGTGGATCTGTTCTGTAAGTAGCTCTATTACCGAGATAGTGCTTCATTTAGATCGTGCCCCCATCTGCTCGTCCGAAAGCAGGTTATAGTCTTCGGCGGCCTTAGATATGCGATTGGCCACTAACCTCTCGAGAAGCTTTCCCATCATGTGGAGAAGCGCTATCGGACGATAAGACTTTGGAGTATCATATCTCGGCTTTTGTGGCTTTCTGAGAACTATAGTCATCGATTCTTTGAAACTCTTTGGGTGGTACCCCAGGCAAATGCATGCATTGAATAGCTCTGAGGTCGTTACCGAGAGTTTTGCTGCATTCTTTGAGGAGTCGATTTGGTATGCCATCTAGACCTGGAGCCTTGTCGCTTGGAAGCTTTCCAAGAATTTCTTCGACCTCTGCCTGGTTAATGATGTTAGAGATACCGTCCAGCTCTCTAGGATAGATAGTCTCCGCAATATCTGCTATATCTGCAGCCACAGGCTGGAGAAAAAGTGCGCTGCCATAGCTCTCGCCATTTCGGGAGGATCAGTATGGATGATTCCTCCTTTGTCTTTTATCTCCGATATTTGGGGTAGCCTCTATCTTTCCTCTGGATTTTTTCTTGCCCACTTATCAAGTTTCCATATCTTTGATGGGTCCCGGAAAGCCTCAGATACTGCTGCCCTCCATCCAATTGTTTTTGCTTTTCTTATTTGGGCCTTTTTCAAACTGATGGTTTTTTGGTACTCAATCCAGCTTTTCTCAGTTTCTCGATATTTCCACTCTCTTCTGGCTTTTCGTGTATCTTTTACTGCTTCTGAGCATTGGGTCGTCCAGTAGGGTTTAGCAAATTTCGAGGGTTTGGCAATAGATCTAACTTCTTTAGTTATCTTCTGGATAGCTTCGGTGATGGAGGCTACCCACTGGCCGATGGTTTGTCGGGAGTTGAGATCCAAGACGTCTGTCCTTAACTCGCTTAGTTGGACTGCCAATCTTTCATTAAATTATTCCCAGTCTGCTTTTTTCCATTGGAGACGTGGTTCTGGTTTTTCGTTTACTTGTGGCTAGATTGAAATTTGCGTAGGTATAGGAATATGATCGGAGGTTGCTTTAAGATTGCTATCTGGTTGGCAGGTTATGACAACCTCTTCAAACTCTTTCGATAGGAAGACGAGATCAAGCGTACTCTGGCTTCTCCTATTATTCCATGTGATGATCCCCTCCGGAAGAACTAGCTCCATATCGTTATCTCCCAGTATTTCTATCAAGTCTTCAGCTAGCTTATGATGACTTAGAACTGATTGCCCCCCATCTAGGGTGGTGTAGATTGAAGTCTCCCACAAGAATATTTTGGCCCTTTTTACAGAGGACTTATCATTGTCGGCCCAACTATTCTCACATGTAACGGTTCCGGTATATAAAGCTTGAGCGTTTGTATGTCGAAAGGTAAGTTTATTTATTAACTGAAGAACAAAAGTAATGCTACATCTAACGCCCTGTATATACATGATTCCAATATTCCAAACACTAGTAGCTGTCCTCCAGTCGTGCCCCCATTATTCAGGTGTGGGCAATTCCCACTTTCAATACGAGCCTAACTTAGCGCTGACACTGTGAATATGTCTGTGCTGGATAGCACTGGCTACAGGGATCTCATCGGCTCACTAGCCGTCACATCACACGAGTTACCCGCCTCAATTTGACCAACTTCCATCTTGACTCAACGAACGACCACATAGGTGCTCCTATTGCAAGCGGAAGTTTTTCTGATCAATCACCAACCATTTCTCATCATCACACAAAAATGCCAGCCATATGCTCAAGGACTAAAGTAGGTCGTGAGATACAGAGCTGGGGGTGTGGCCCCTGTAGACCTCTGCTCTACAGCCCGACTGAACAGGCTGCTACTATTTGGAACGAGTAATGGAGGAGGATATTTTTGGGTATTCTAGAACTAAAGTTCCTCGAGATATTTCCTCATTTCGATGTGGATCCCTGATCGCTTCTGCGGTCTGTATCGCCTTCATCTCTCAATACAAGCTCCTATCACCACTATTATGGAGCTAACCACGATCAGATCTGATGGTAGGGTCGAAGCCCTTCTCATCACCAACCCTTGGTTGTGTAGGAGAAGCCATTCGATGAGTTCCCGGAGCGTACCCTGCACCCGATACGGAGATGGTGGATTGGATCAAGTCGGCCTCGAATGTTACAAAGGAGGGAGATGTAGATGAATATGCGCACCTCATGTGGTCCTGGTGTCTAGGCCTCGCCTGGCTGGGCCTGGAGGTTTTTTGAGACTTTTTCCCGCGCACGCAGTTTCCATTGCTACCATTTTTTATTTTTTTTGGGTAGAAGGTTCCGTGGAAAAGGTGGCCAAATTCCACGGATCAACACTGAGCTGAATGGCTATTCAGCACGGGCAACATATCAATGATCTTTGAAACTACAAAAGAGGCAAAGAGCACTGTACAAGATGTGGCCAGGATCTGAGAGGAGCCCACTTTGCTAGATAGTCTATGATTCAAGTTGTACAATGTACACACCTCTCTCTCCCGTCCTTGTCAATCTAGTCCATGTACTGAACGTTCTAAAACGAACGTATACCGGAAAAATGTAGTTCCGATATCCCTTTAATAGGTTGAAGTTAGCTGTGACGTAATATGACATCGTTTATGTGTTTGATTGCTAAATCAGACATTCGAATGCAAAAGTCTTGACCCTCCAAAACGAATAAAACCACACGGAATTCCTACAGGACTTCGGATAAATATTTCTGATTCACAATGTGCCAGACATATGGCAACTAATTCAGCTGATGACTCAAATCATTTCGTCAGAGGGGTGTAAGCCCTATGATCCATTCAACCCTCATACTGGACAAGATCAAATTTACGTACAGTTGGTGCTATCCTTTGTACTCGGTACTGTCGCGTTCATTAGTTTTTGCTTCCTTCGCACAAGATGGAAAAGTTTATATGCTGGACGAAAACAACAAAATGGGACTATCGACTGTCTACCCGATCTACCTGACTCATTTTTTGGGTGGATTCCGGTACTCTACAATGTGACTGATGAACAGGTCCTGAAATCTGCAGGCCTTGATGCTTACGTGGTAATTATACTTCTGATCGAAGTCATACAATGTTAACAAACATAGTTTCTCGCGTTCTTCAAGATGTCAATTAAACTACTCACAACAATTTTCATCATAGCATGCATTGTAGTAGCTCCTATCAACAGTCATTTTGTTTGGCTTCCATCGCCGGTTGATGTCAAAGATCCTCGACAGGAAGATAGAAACATTTCACAAACATTGACAGAAAATAGTTTCGAGTACCAGTACGCACCATCAGTGTTAATTGATGAAAATAAAAACAATCTCCCAGATCCAACGTACCTGTGGGCGTATGCTTTCTTTACCTATCTCTTTTCTGGGCTGGCAATTTATTTTTTATCGGCTCAAACAAAATCAATCATTAAAGTAAGACAAGGATACTTAGGAAGTCAGCCGAGCGTGAAAAGTCGGACTTTTAAATTGTCAGGTATACCCTTAGAATTTAGAACTGAAGATAAGATAAAAGAGATGATTGAGTCACTTGAGATCGGAAAGGTGCTAAACGTAACAATTGCTCGGAATTTGGAGAAACTTGACCATCTTGTGGAAAAAAGATATCGCGTATTAAGATTGCTGGAAGAGTCATTAGTGGTATATCAAGGAAAGCAAAAGTACATGAGACGATTTGAAAATCAAAATTCAACACCTAACTACGAAGCTGATGGAGGAAACAGTAATGAAGAAAGTCATGCCTTATTGGGTACTACCAACGCCACAGATTCTGAAAACCTCGGACCGAGAATAACAGTTTGCCCTCAAACACTCTGTAGGAGAAACAACAAAATTGACGCAATCCGCCTTTATGAAGAAGAGCTTATGGACTTAGATGACGAAGTTAGAATTGCGAGAAAGGAAGTGTATCCAGCGACACCGATAGCATTTGTCACGATGGACTCTATTTCTGCCTCTCAAATAGCCGTGCAGACATTGCTGGAATCTTCGATGAATCTAACTGCGAAATTGGCTGCTGCTCCTACTGAGATTTTATGGTATAATACTTACAGGTCCCGCTGCAACCGTATGATTCGTTCTTGGATGATCACAATTTTTATTTTTGTTCTAACAATTTTTTGGGTCGTTCCTGTTGCAGCTCTTGCCGGGCTAATTGATCTATGTTCAATTCAAAAAGTCTGGCCTCAGCTCGCTGATGTCCTGACGAGGCATGAAATTTTGAAATCTCTAGTTCAAACAGGCCTACCAACTCTTATTGTATCATTACTTAATCTTGGTGCTCCCTTTCTGTACGACTTTCTCTCATACAAACAGGGGAAGATTTCTCAGGTAGAGATTGAACTATCTGTGATCTCTAAGAACTTTTTTTTTATATTTTTTAACGTGTTTTTAACTTTCACTGTTGCCGGAACAGCAACAAAATTTTGGTCTACTCTTCAAGACACCCTAAAAGATACCACGTTTCTTGCTTTCAAATTAGCTGGATCAGTTCAAGAAGTTGCTGTCTTTTATCTGAATTTTATCATTTTGCAAGGTATTGGTCTCACCCCACTCAGACTCCTAGAATTCGGTAGTATGAGCCTTTATCCATTTTTTCGCATGACTTCGAAGACTCCAAGGGATTATGCAGAATTTATGCAACCTCCAATTTTTAAATACGGCTTCTATCTTCCATCTGCAATATTCATATATATCTTGTGCATCGTTTACTCTGTTTTACCTGTTGGCTACTTAATTCTGATGGCTGGGATTATATATTTTATTAATAGCTACTTCACCTATAAATATCAGCTACTATATGCCATGGAACATCACAAACACGAAACCGGAGGTGCTTGGCCAATGATATGTTACCGAGTACACATTGGCCTTGGTATCTTTCAGATAGTCATGGCAGGAATAATTGCTCTCAAAAGTCAAATTTACGCTGCTATTACTATAGTTCCTCTGATATTTTTCAATATATGGTACAGTTATTATTTCAGCCGAACCCATCATCCGTTGATGAATTTTATTGCTCTGAAATCTATACAAAAAGAGGTCAATGCCATCACAGAAATTTCTGATGAGAATATAGCTACAGACAACATTTTTTATGGGGCAAATAGAACATTAATCTCAAACAGTGTGGAAGGGAAAGAAAGGCAGCAATTCATGAATTCCAATCTAACTGCCCCGTAAGGATTTTTATGCGATAGCATGAAAGTAACCATTACTGACATTTAATAGGCTATCCAGTCTTTGGATAAACAGTCAGCCAGAATCAAACCACGGGTCTACTTTTGCTCAGAATGAAGGTCACAATGACTTTTTTCCAAACACTTCGCGAGGAAGCAGCTTGTTAAGTCTTGGTGACACTCACGTATGGCGCGAAAACGATTGAAAAGCTAGATAAAGCTCATTGTTGCTATATTTTATTTTGGTACTTTTATTTGGAGGAGTTTAAAAGTATCCCAGAATTTTTTGTAGGATATTTCTATATCTTTGTGGTAGAAAATTATTCATTAGTAGGTTTTAAAATAAAATAAACACCAAGAGACATCAAAATATTTTGCAAAGAATGAACTTCTGTTTCTTATCCTTTCTATTCTGTAATAAAGTAGTCAGTAAACAACAAACTGAGTCATACAGAAAAAACTATGTACAATAAAAGCTGCACATCGCATCTTATAGCCTTTGAGTACAAACTGACATGGTCAAACACACTTTTATTGTTTACTGAGCTAGTTTCTTTCATAGAACCTGACGTGCAACAGCCTGGCAGGTTAAAGAGCTAGTTTAGGTAAATGCATCGGCGTCGACTTGTGAAAAGCGCTCATGTCAAGCAGCGACGGTAGCAGTATCGCGAGAATAATTCCAAAGAATAAGAACTTAAATATCCTAAAGTAAACTACTTGAGAAAGCTGAGCTTACTTTCATTGGGAGGTTTTTTATATTGGATTGGGTCCTAAGTAGATGCTCCATTTCCACCTTGGGTCCAGGACCGGTGGAAGCGGTAGGGACCCTATGTTCTTTTCCACGGCCCACTAATACCAACCGCATGAATCGCGAAAAAAGTTGCAGCGGATTAAACAGGAACTACAGGCAAGACAATCAAAAACAACTCGAAACTTGTAAAATTCCTACATTTTGGACCTCAGAAATGTACTCCTCGCACATTCCAAATGACAAATTTTCTCATTCTCCACTGAGAGCTAGAAATAAGTTAGTAGGTGCCCTTGACCCAGCCAGTATCCCGCTCTGAGTAAGTAACACCTAGAAGGCTTCATCCAGGTCGCTGTGCCCTCGATCATTGCAGCTCCGGAGTCTTCGGAATGTCATAATTCAGGTCGACGCGCAGATTCTCGAGAGAAGAGTGTCTGTTATTGAACGGCTATACTGAGCTGGTCTAACGTACCGTTCAGATGAAGGTATGGAGGCAAGTAGCTTCGGCTTTTAAGAGAAGTGAAGTTTGTGACTTAAACTCTTAGAACTTGGATCAATGGACGAACTTGGGGAGATTCGCGAGTATTCTCAAGCGTGTGAATGATGTGGAAACTGCTCAAATATACTATTGTATGCATTGCTTGAATTATCTACGTGATAGGACCTTCCTAATATACATGAATAAGGGGGTTTCGGTACACTATCGGATATTCCAATATACTTCCTTGTCTAACCGAGGAAGGAAGGAAGGATGTGAGAGATCCTAGCGCCAATAGATACCATTAGGAATCTATTGGGAAATACTATGTCATACCAATGAGTGATGATCTAGGTCAATCATATCCCATGACGCACGTGCACGTTATTCTAATGAGAACTGTTTATTGTAATGCAGTCATGTTACTCCCCTAATTACAACACCCTTCAATTCGGGTAAGATGCCCTCGATTCACAAGTCGCCTGGGCACGGACAAGAAACTCATGCGATTATGGGCTGAGAGGTTTGTGGCAATTATATGACTATACTGTCCTTTGATAGAGTGACACCGGCTCATGTACAATGGTGAGTCGCGGAGATGGCGCGCTCACGCTGGGTGATGGCACGATGGATACTGAGTGCGTATCACTGCGGCAAATGGGTGTTAATAAGTATCAAATGTGAATTCGCACTGACAATGGTGATCTTTGAAGATGATGCTAGATGCGCATCCCAACATTTGATATTATTATCTGACGCATGAGGTGAAGGATGATGTTATTTAGATACCTCGCTATACTCGGCAGATAAAGAGATTGTAAAGTAAACTAACAGCGCCTGCGCATAGTATATGTTTTCCAGCCTTTCTCAATACAGCAGCCCATCCTCCTTACCCCTTTCCCCTGTCTCCCAACGACTCAACCGAGCCAGCACAACAGAGAGGGAACTGATTTGGTCACTCGCGTGGCTTCGTCGACAACCATCGCGCCGTCGTGGTGATGAGAATTGCATGAGCTCGAATTTTCACGGTTACGGTATCAATTCGTAAAGCGATCAGATTTGATGCTGGTTCTAAATTGATACTAGATTCTATCCGAAGTGTGGAGGCATCCAGGAGCTCTTTGCTGTAAGTTCACAGCCAGTTTTGACCCGCTGGAATAACATATTATTGTTAGAATTTGGAACAATTGGGGCTCCAGGTAGGCCACGTTGTTGATACGAACGTGACTACAAATTCTGTACCTAGTTTCACTTCGATAATTACTCGAATCAATACGCTCTACAACCTCAATGAGTGAGGGCTCATTATTTCCTTACTAATTATTGTTGACTGGGGTACCAAGAGCCTGCGAAAAGTCTGATCGTATTCCAAACAGTGACAAGATTTGATGTGCATGATTGGGGGCGAGACGTTGAAAGTGTCGCGCATCGACTTACTAACTCGGATTGGCACTCTTTGCTTTCTGGATGGGCGGTGCTGTCTTCGCTTTTTTCGATTGCCCAGTGCCGAGGCCTAGGCCTGATGGGGCCACTGTATCCCAAGTGGTTTTTAGGGCCGAAGCTTGGGTTGTTGGAGTAGTTGGAATCCTGACATCCTGACTCCTCGGAGGAAGAGAGTTGCTGAGGCGAGTGAAAAGAATTCGTGGTGTTTTTCTTGGTTCAGACTGTGCGAACTGGCCAATTGCTGCTCTTAAATAGACTTTGATTCCGTCTACGAACTCTTTACCCTCACCCGTGGATATAGGAAAAAATACCACTTCGACACTGCTAATCGCAGTGGAGCAAATAGTGAGGCGGGCTGTAATTTGCGACGTATGACGCTTTTCGACCTCCATCACTGTTCGCAGATCGGACGGAAATTCCATCACTGTTGTCGAGGCTATGCTACTCTAGGCTGGCACTGCGATTTTTTCGCAGATATCTCTGTAGGCTTACTGATCTTGTCTCAAACGACTTCACTTTTTTCGCGTTGGATACCTCGGGAGCAGGGGGACTATTCTCAACACCTATCAGCGGTGTCCCCTACGAACCTCCAGCTCTCACTGTAGAGTCTGCGGAGCCGAGATTGAGCAACAAAGTCCTCACTTCGACGAGGATTCCCAATCGCTTTCGCCGTCTGTATCGTCTTCATCTCTCAACACATCCCCCCTATCACCACTATCATGGAGCTAACCACGATCAGATCAGATGGTCGGGTCGAAGCCCTTCTCATCACCAACCCTTGGTTGTGGAGGAGAAGCCATTCGATGAGTTCCCGGAGCGTACCCTGCACCCGATACGGAGATGGTGGATTGGATCAAGTCGGCCTCGAATGTTACAAAGGAGGGAGATATGGATGAATATGCGCACCTCATGTGGTCCTGGTGTCTAGGCCTCGCCTGGCTGGGCCTGGAGGTTTTTTGAGACTTTTTCCCGCGCACGCAGTTTCCATTGCTACCATTTTTTATTTTTTTTGGGTAGAAGGTTCCGTGGAAAAGGTGGCCAAATTCCACGGATCAACACTGAGCTGAATGGCTATTCAGCACGGGCAACATATCAATGATCTTTGAAAGGACAAAAGAGACAAGAAGCCCAATTTGCTAGGTAGTCTGTGATTCAAGTTGTACAATAAAGAAACACACCCAATCTCACTCTGGTGTTTCTATTGTGATGGCTTTTTTTATTTTTTTTATTTATTATTTACTTTTGGTCCTAAGCTAACGCACTTTATCCACATTGGGTCAAGGAACGGCGCATCCGGCAGGGTTCCCTGTAACTTTTCCTACAGCCTAACTTGTTCCAACCTCGTGAATCGCTACCAAAGGTGCAGCTGATTGAACAAAAACGAAAAACCACGAAAATCAAGACAACTTCGAAAACCAGAAGATTCCTCCATATTGGACCCAGCCAATGCGCTCCTCACACATTCCGTCGTCCGTCACACCCTCCAGATGACAAATTTGCCCATTCTCCGCTGAGAGCAAAAGATGGGTTAGCAGGCACCTTTGATCCAGCCCGTATCCTGCTATTGGTTAGTAGATGCCCCAAAAGGGGACATCGTCGAGCTTGCTGTGTCCTCAAACTTCTTCTTCAGCTTCCAGAGCTCCGAAACCTGTTGCCTCGGCCATCGAGACATCCTTCGTCGCGGCGATGATCGCCTCTTCGGCCTTTTTTACTACAGCTCGGGCTCGTGCCACCTTCGCGAACTCCCCTTGTTCGATGTGGCGGATCCACGCGAGCTGCTCTTTGGTCACCGATCCGGATTTTTTGGGTCTGACTTGGCAGGCCCTAGAATCCGATCGGTGGGGTCCCCCACAGTTGTAACACTTAGTGAGGGCCTTGCACTAGGCTTCAGAGTGCATGTTTGATCCGCAATTCCAGCAGGCTGGAGCGCGGGAGCAACCACGGGTGGAGTGGTAGCCCAAACAGCGATTGCACTGTTCAATTTGTGGACGAGGCTTGTGAATGGTAGCCATGCCTGTTAAGGGCGAAGAGGATTACGGACACCGCACGTAAACAGTACCACAAAGAATTAATATTTTTCTATAGAGATTAACTACAGGAAATCTGTTACATTAAATATGCCCTCTGCAGCTACCAGTGATCTTGATTCCTGACACGTAATCCCTCGCTACTGAGTAATCTGTTTCCCAGCCTCAGCATAAAAAACTGAGTGATCCGAGTCATGATAAACGACCTCACGTCGGTTCACGCGACTAAAGTCCTTGAATGAGGCTGGGCCTTAAAGATAGCCCAGCCAAATCGAACGGGGTGTGCGTACGGTTTCAATGGGGCTTACGGTTGACTAGGGACTAGAAGCACGCCTGTAATTAGTATCACAGAATGCCGGGTAAGTCGTTAAGTCAGATATAAGTTTTCCATTGCTTTCTTACCTAAAAACTCCCTATGAATACAATTACGCTAAAGAGATTACATAAGTAAGGGTCGACCGCAGATCTCCATCATTGCACGAGCCGCCCCCTTAGAATCGTGCGATCTGG